TTCTCCATCAACACGATTAAGTTGCTTTTCATTTGATTCAGGGCCCAAATGGGTAATCTTGAGATTCTCAGGTTATTACATTTGCAGAAAGCTCTTTTCCAAATAGGATTATCTTCACAAGTTCTGGGATGTGGACATATGTTTTTGAGGGCCACCATTTAATCCACCAAATGACTTTCTAGCATACATACTTTTCTCACAAATAGTTCAAAGTGCATGAAATCAATAAAATGTGAAGTTGTCTCAAGGAACCACATATGAAAAAACAAACAAACAAACACACAAAAAACACTCACACTTTCAAGTAATACTAATATATACTCAGGTTGCTTAAGTCTCAGGCTATTGTTGCATTTTGCATTACTGTATTGTATTTTTACTGATGTTAGAATTATAGCCGTTCTATGGCATATCGCTAGTCTACAAACAAGTTATTCAATTATAGGCTATGAAACATAATCTCATCTTTCCACATTCAAAGTAAGCATGTTTTTATTCATATACTTTTCAAACACAAGTAAATTATACCAAAAGTTATAAAGCTTTAATAGTCCCTTTATTAATTTCTTCTTTTGATAATGTCATCAGTTTCTTCCTAGGATCCTAAAAAAAAGAAACTGGCATTAGTGACCATTTCCTGTTTGAAAATCAACATTGGCTTGCTTTAGTGGAGATTGAAGACCTGACCATGGGGGACTGAGTGCCTATGCAATCTGAACCACCCATGTTATGATCTACTGAATCATAAAATTGTACCTGCGCAGTACTATTTTGATGTTAAGTGAAAATGGTTGGTATGAGATTGAGATTTAGCAGATCTGGAAGGTTCTACAGAATGAATGAGTAAGTAGCTCAGAATCCCATGGTATCTGCTTGTACTGCTTTGCCGCTTCTTTCTTAATTCTCAACCTTGGTTTAGTGCTATATGCTAACACAGAAAGTAGACAGTGACTGCATCACCGCATCACCCAGAGGTGGCCCTGAAAGTGCATAAAGAAAATCCTCCAAAAGAAAAGAATATCTAGTTGTCTACTTAGAAGGGAAAGAGAGTTCCCCCGAGATGCAGATGTATGTTGATTTATAAGAGTAGTTAGCAAGTTTTTTAGTTTGGCAGGGACCTGGAAAGAACAACATCAGAAGAATGGTAACAAGAAAGAAGGGGAAAATGCATCTAGATGAGCTTTTTTTTCTTATGTTTTATTTTTGAGAAAGAGAGAGACAGAGCATCTGCAGGAGAGAGGCAGAGAGAGAGGGAGACACAGAGTCTGAAATAGGTTCAGATTCTGAGCTGTCATCACAGAGCCAGTGTGGGGCTTGAACTCAGGGACCATGACACCATGACCTGAGTCAAAGTCTGATGCTCAACTGACTGAGCCACCCAGGTGCTCCTAGATGAGCTCTTTTTTTTATGTTTATTTATATTTTGAAAGAGAGACAGACAGAGAGATAGAGAACCAGTGGGGCAGGGGCAGAGAAAGAGGGAGACACAGAATCTCAAGCAGGCTCCTGGTTCTGAGTTGCCAGCACAGAGCCTTATGCGAGGCTCAAACCCACAAACTGTGAAATCATGACCTGAGCCAAAGTAGGATGCTTAATCAACTGAGCCACCCAGGTGCCCTAGATGAACTCTTAATACATGGATAAATAGAGGTTTTAAGAAGTCAGTTAGTAAGAAGACATGACCCGTAGGTCACAAGTCAGTTTTTAATCCCAGCCAATCTTAATGCTTGTCAATGAGCCTACGAAAAAGCACCACGTGGCTAGGAATGGAGGCCTTGCTTTATACTCAACAGTATGGACTTTACCCTCATTAAGGCTGAACACTATCTACTTCCTTCCTGACCCCATAGTCTCTCAATTCATTCTCAAACCTCTTCTAATCCTTGGGAGAAAGGCCTACCACTGCAGGTAAGAAAAACTGAAGCACGAGAGAGACCGGTGTTGAAAGAAAGACATCACCAACTTTACATGTGTGCCCAGAATCTTACCCATCTTCCCACCCTTTCCTTAAAGTCTATTTTGTAGTGCACAGTTATGGCTCTGTGGGGCTGGTTTTCTACTCATTTCACACTTTACCTAGAAGAAGAGAATTCAGATATTTTTAGAAGGCTTTTAGAGGAAACTATAACTCTCTGTGAAGTTGTCATTTTTAAAATTCATTTGACTTGCTTCTGTAAATACCTGAAAAATTCAGCAAGTTGCAGAATACAGATTACTCTGCTGACCAGACCTTGAACATGCTGCAAATGTCCCTGTTACCTTTCTAAAGCCCATGTACTGACCCTGCATTTGTGTAAATTGGAATGCCTTTATTAATTTAGAAAACTTTAGATTTGGAAACACCACTTACAAGTAATCTAGGTTTCATTTACAAATAGGAGACCTGGATCTCAGTCATATATATTGACTTCTTGAAGGTCACACAGACCTCAGAGAAAGAACTTTGTCCACTGTTCATTTACAGGCTACTCAGGGATGTAGGCAGGGATGTTTATTTGACCTCTCTGAAGTATACTCCACTATTTTCATGAATGAACCAATAAATCCAGTTAGTGTACAACAAAAATCAATAATGAAAGAAAGCACCACTGTTTTTTTAAAAAAGTTTATTGTCAAGTTGGTTTCCGTATAACACCCAGTGTTCATCCCCACAAGTGCCCTCCTCCATGCCCATCACCCCCCTTCTCCCCCCTCTCCCCCACTCCCATCAGCCCTCAGTTCTCAGCATTCAAGAGTCTCTCATAGTTTGCCTCCCTCCCTCTCCCCAACTATTTTTACCTTTATTCTCCCCCATGGTCCTCCATTAAGTTCCTTCTAATACACCTATATGTGCAAACATATGGTATCTGTCCTTCTCTGCCTGACTTATTTTGCTCAGCATAACACCATCAAGTTCCATCCATGTTGCTACACATGGCCAGATTTCATTCTTTCTCATTGCCATGTAGTATTCCATGGTATAGATAAACCACATCTTCTTGATCCATTCATCAGTTGATGGACACTTAGGCTCAAGAAAGCACCACTCTTTACTGGGGATGTGAGCATCCAGTTTCACATGGCCACTAAACACAGTGGAGTGTCTTTGTTCCTTCTCTTTGGATGTAGTGTGTGTTGATGTCAGAGTCTGACTGACACCTGCCAGCATCTCTGCCTCTTCAGAGTTCAGTTTTTCTCACATGAGCAGAACTATCCATGAAACCTCTGGATAGATGTGCACAGTTCATTTGTTTACCAAGACATTAGAAAATTAGAGTTTGACAGAGGTGGGTGGGGGATGTTATGCAATCATGCTCACTTTTGTCTGCTGAGTTCAATATACATTGTGATGTTAACATTGCTGAATGTTACCTTTTATCCTCTTGTTAAAATTCAAGGTCTTGTAAATTAACAAAAAAAGGAAAATTAACTAGTATATATATCCTGGTATGTACATACATATATATTGTTTTTTTTTTTTTAATTCAGCAGCAGAAATTTCAGGCCAGTTTTCTCTCCTTGAGACATAATTTATTGGTCCTGTAACTTTTTGAGTTTCAATTTCCTTATTTAGGTTTCCACAAGTTAGTCATCATTTAGAGCCCATATTTTTACTTTGTAAGAAGAGCCTGTGATCCCTTTAAATTTAGGTTGTTTGAGCTGTGAAAATGTTTACAAAAATAAACATGTTTTGTTTAATCTGTTGTAGTTGTCGGAAAACTGCACCCTATTCATGCTTTTGTTTTGTTCATTGTCTTTGCCTTGCTTCTGATGGAGTAAAACCTATGATTTCTAGTTTACATTTTTTATAACAAACTGGTAATTATTTTAACTCCTTTCCATTATAATCTGTGCTTCTCTTACTTACTTTGCAGAATATCCTTTAGGACATTTAGGGGTTAAAAACTAACGATTAGTAGGTAATTTAATCTTATTTCTTGAATTTATTGTAAAAATATAATAGCTAGATTATTCTTTATTTCCTTGTGTCTCACAGTTAAATAATCAGAAAATGTAAGTTCTTCATTGTGGCCACTTAAGATAAATATAAACTTAGTTTTATATGAATCTCTTCATCTGCCAATTCTTGATTAAAGTAATATATTAAAAGAATTGCTTAACTCGCATTTATTTCTGTTTTTTAAACTTAGCATCAGCTAATACAACCCCATTAGTATTAGTATCAGCAATACAACCCCATTTCTAGAGATAATACCTTGGTTACTTCTGGGTGCCAGATAACCTCTTAAAATGCAAATGGAAAAATATACCTGGTTTAGTCAGATTTGCTTTTAAGTACTTTATGTCCTTAAATTGAAAACCTGACTATTAATGTTTCTGAAAGTACTTGAGCATGACTCCTAAAATCAAATGGCTTTAATTTAATCTTCTTTTTCAAATACACTAGACTTAATATTTATTTAAAATAATCATTACAATAGTAATTTCTTTGAACTTAGCTTTCTAATCAATTACTAAAAAATGCATCATGATGCACATATTAACATATGCAAATTTGGAAAGTGTGGCAATATGGAATAAGCGATTTAGTCCAATATTTGGGAATATTGCATATAAAACTCATGCTGATTTTAATTTTAATTTTGACTTATATCTGACTCATCAGTCTATGTGCTTCCATTTTCAGTGTTGACAATTATAAACCACAGGTGCTATGACTGTACACAACTAATAATTGTTTCTTCATTACACTATCACTTTCATTAAATGAGAAGAGTTGTATCCATTTATATATACAGTGTGTATATATATATATATATATATATATATATATATATACAGTGAGAGTTAAGGAAAGTGATTTTAAACCATCTAAAATACACAAATCAAAAAATACGTTAATAACAGGGTCTGAGATAAAAGGGACATATTAAAAGAAAAGTCTTCTGCTGATTACCAATTGCACTAGTGCTCAATGAATTTTTTTAAATGTATAGAAAGAATAAAAACAGTAATTTTAGTCTTTGTCAATATACAGTTATTTTCTTTAATTATCTTTACAGCTCAGAGGCCAAACTATATGGCAGAAACTATGTCAGGATCATCTCGATAACAGGTTTCTCATGCTTATGGATAAAAATAAGAGGTAAGAGTAAAGTTGTCAAACTACATCAGAAATCATCAGGTAAACAGAATTAATATGAAATTATTTATTGTTAATATTTTTAATGTTTGTTTATTTTCGAGAGACAGAGAGAGAATGAGTGGGGAAGGGGCAGAGGGAGGGAGACAAAGAATCCCAAGCTGACTCCTTGCTGTCAGCACAGAGCCCCATGTGGGGCTTGAACTCACCAGTTGTGAGATCATGACCTGAGGCAAAACCAAGAGTCAGATGCTTAACTGACTGAGCCCCCCAGGTGCCCCTGGCATTATTTTTTCTTATAAGATTGTAGGCTTTGAAAAGAATACCTTTGGAGGGGCATCTGGGGGGCTCAGTCGGTTAAGCATCTGACTTCGGCTCAGGTCATGATCTCATGGTGATGAGTTTGAGCCCTGCATCGGGCTCTATGCTGACAGCTCAGAGCTTGGAGCCTGCTTCAGATTCTGTGTCTCCCTCTCTCTCTCTTTCCCTCCCCCATCTCTCTCTCAGAAATAAATAAAATGTTTAAAAATGTAAAAAAAAATCACACAAAACCTTTGGAAAAGTCTAACTAAAAACAGTACCCAGAGGGAAGGTGGGGGTCAAAATAGACAAAGGGGACTTAGGGGTACAGACTTCCAGTTTTACAATAAATAAGTCAAATGAACAATGAAAAGGAAATGAAAGTACGGCATCGGAAATATAATCAATAATACTGTAACAATGTATGGTGACATATGGCGACTACATAATACCTTGGTTACTGATTGGAGACAGATAACCTCTTAAAATGCAAATGGAAAAGTATACCTGGTTTAGTCAGATTTACAATGCTCAGTAAGCATTGAGTAATGTATAGAATTGTCAAATCAATATGTTGTACACCTAAAAACAACATTGTATGAAGATTATACTTTGCTTTTTAAAAAAAATTTTTTTTAAGTTTTTATTTATTTCTGAAAGAGAGAGAGACCCCATGAGTGGGGGTGGGGGTGGGGGTCAGAAAGAGACGGAGACATAGAATCCGAAACAGGCTCCGAGGCTCTGAGCTAGCTGTCAGCACAGACCCCGTCACGGGGCTCGAACCCAGGAACGGTGAGATCATGACCTGAGCCGAAGTTGGCCGCTTAACCGGCTGAGCCACCCACGTGCCCCTGTATTTTGCTTTTTAAAAAAATTGACCCTGTTTCAAATTTAGAAATCCTGAGGTGTGGGGACTGCTAATTATCTCTAGAGATTTACAAAGAGACAGACTCTTGTGAAAAATATACATCCTCAGCATCTCAAAGCATATATCTGGGAATTGGTATACTGACCCTAACTTCTTTGGTGCTTTCTGGGATATTGCCTTACACATTAGCCCTCAGTCTTCGCCATTTTCAACATATTTTGCCCTGGAGCCTCCTTTTTCTCTTCCTCTGGGCATGCAAAGGTCTCCCTCATTCTGGAAATCTGTTTCCTCAACCAGTCTTCTCCCCTAGTTACTCCTGCTCCTCTTTCATATCCTTCACCAACAAGCCCTTTTGAAAGAATAGTCTATATTGATTTGAGTTCCTTTCCTCAGCATTTATTTTCTCCTAGTCCTCTTACAATCTTGGCTTTGCTTCTAGCACTTTACTGATAACTGTTCTTACTAAGGTCAAGGAGAAGATTCTTCAAAAGTGGTTGAAAGGGTCACTATGTTAAAGGCTGTTGAAATGTCAGGCAGGATGGTAATTGAATGTAGGCCTCTAATACTTACCTGGCAGGAGAGAGATCATGTCTACCACGGTTGTGAACCTAAAAACTCCAAATGGGGCAATTAGGAGAAAGACAACCTAGGCTTTCTATTGTGGCATGTCTAGATAGCATGAAATAGCCTATACTCCCAAAAGTAGAGAAGGCACTTTTTAGCATTTTCAAATGCACGCCCTCTGATTCAAAGAAAGGTTAAACTAAAGTTAAGGCATTCAGAGATAGTCAATACATTTGAAAATAGAAATTCCACATATTTTTAGGAAAAGATGTTACCCCAAACTGTACTTAAGTCAACTGAAATGAAGTAAAGTTAGTAGCTCAAGAAGAGGGAACTTGGGAGAATTTATATGACATGACAAATAATGCAACTTCCTTGAAATTCAAGCTAATGCTATGAAGCAAACCAAAAAAGAGGGAAGGAAGGAAGGAAAAAGAGGAAACAGGAAGAGGAAAGAAGAGGAGATGAAATGCACGAGAAATAGAAGAGGGGTAACAGTAATGGAAAAGATAAAAATGTACTTGGAGGTAGCAAGATTGTCATATCAGTGCCCCAAGGAAAAGTCAGCTATTAAAAACAAAAACAACAACAAAAATCACAGAATTCTTATGAAAACAAAAGTGGACTAGAAAATATTATGAAGATTTAAATGAATGAACATTTCTTTTCTCCTGCGCTTTTGATAAGATTTAACATAGTAAATACATCAATTCCCCCAAATTAATTTATGTGCTAAATTCAGTTCAAATAAAAATCTTAACAGAATTTATAAATAATCGTAAAGTACTTGTATAGTGCTTTTGGAAGAACACATGAACAAATATTGCATGAAGAAATATAAAGAAGAGTAGAGGGAAGGAAATTACCTTACTAATATTAAAACACATTTGTGAAGTTATCACTAAAACATGGAAGTATATGAATAGTAAAATAAAAACCATGCAACAGATGTTTGTATTTTAAACCATATATGAATCATCAGAAAATATATCGGTGCTTCATCTCTGGGAACTTGCAACGAGGTGAACAGTTGTGTCTGAAACATTAGGCAAATCCAAATAAGGACCATCTAAACAAACAACATACCAAATAATCTCATGTTTATTTGAAAGTGAAGGAATGAAGTCACTTAATGAGACTGAGTGAAGAATGAACCAATTGTACGGAGAAAACATCAAAGCTAAATATATTAAAAAGAACACACAAAATCCTCTACTTCTTCTAGTAGATAATGAGTAAAAGAAATTGGCCAAGTAAGTTATTGGTAAAACATTTAAAGTAATAAAATGTCTTTTAAATTTTTATTTTTCAAATATTTGTGTTTCAAGATCAAGGAGAAGTGATAAAAGACCATCTTTAAAGTGACTTGACCATTTATAAGCAAATGTTCCTCTTTTTTATTTGCTTTATTTCAGATAGCGTCTAAAACAGTTACAGAATTCTGTGTTCCAAAGATTTTGTTTAGTCTTTTGCAAGCTCTTTAAAGTGGAAACAAAGCTGACCTTGGAGTGTAGTAATTTATCATTAAGGGCTCTCTGCAAAATAAACTTTAAAAGTCACAAATAAAGACTTATCACCAAAAATTTGTCACAAGATTAAGTTTTATGCTTAAAAACTTCATAGGAGAAAGTATTGACCTTGCTCTGGCAGTTTCTAGATGATGTTTCATTTATAGACAGAATAAATGAAACATGATGCTTGTCATATCAGAGTTTATTTTGCAACCTTAAACACTGCAGGTGGAGAATGACTTAAAAATTTTTTTTGCAAGATTAAGACATAATCATGACAGTTGTGTCTCCTCCCTATCATTCCAAAGGCTGTTCCAGTCAGAAAAATTATTCTAATCAGAACCCTCATTCACAAAATCTTTTTTTTTCTCATTGTTTTTCTTTGTGGAAAACAGCAATCTTTCATCTCAGTCCTTTGACTCACCTCCCAAGTCGCCTTTCAAAGACTTCCCTGAAGCTGGACAGAGGCCTGGTGGGAGGAAAAGGAAACTGATTTTGATAAAAGGTGAGACACTGGAAAATGTTATTATGTTAATAACATTGGAAAATTTATTATATGAATATCTACATGACCGTCCAGAAATAAAATGTGAGTGTCTACAGGTACCCTCCTTTTTTGAAACTAATTATACAGCTGAAGTTGGTATTTATAACTTTGTACATTTCCCACATATCCCAAGCTTCCTTTGCCCTCAATCAGAATCTTGGTTATGATCTTTACCTTGTAGGATGACCCATACCTTTAGTCCTGAGAGAGCTGAAACTTTTGTAGACTTGCTTGTGTGAAGTTATTATACTCTTCCATTGAATTTATTCCTGGAAAGTCTTTATGAAGGCTCTTTAGGCTTCTATAGATTCTGGATATAATTCTTCCTGTCCTCTGTGAATAAACTACCTGCTTTCACTCCAGTTATAAGGATTGGTTACCCATAGCCAACATGATATATATTTTTTTAATGTCTTATTGACACAAAAAGTAGGGGCACCTGGGTGGTTCAGTCAGTTAAACATCCAGCTCTCAGTTTTAGCTCAGGTCATGATCTCAGCATTGTGAGACCAAATCCCACATTGGGCTCTGCACTGGCAACACAGAGCCTGCTTAGGATCCTCTCCCTCTCTCTCTGCCTCTCCCCTGTCCTCTCTCTCCCTCTCTCTAAATAAATAAACAAATAAATAAATAAACTTTAAAAAGTTTCAAAAAGTAGAAAACTACTCACATCAACTTCCAATTTAATGGAACCATTTTTGTGTGTTCATGTGAAAGTATTTATTCCTAGGATCTAAGACCCCGAAACAGCAGAATCCTCCATTCCAGGGACAGGAACTAAATCTTTTATAAGTGCATGGTTAGGTATAATGGTGAAAGCTACCAATCTCAAGTCTACCCCTGTTCCTGAACCCATGTATCCTGGCTTTAGGAGAAACAGAACTGTTTCTTGGTTGCTGATTCCAAGCCTATAACATCCTATAGGACAGCATTTCAACTTAGCAAGGTGTTAACACCCAACTAAAATTATAAATCAATTTTTAGTGAGCTAGTAAACCATTCTAAGTCCAATAGATTCTAAGTAATAGGGTACAGAATAACACTAGCACAACCCATAGATAGGTTCTTTTGTCAGAAGTAACCTAGTAGGGGTTAAAATCTAAATATGGAATAGTATGAGAGTGAACAAGGCATTTGGTAAGTGCCCAGATGGTGTTACTGGCAGAAAAATGGTGGGAAAAAAAGGGAGGGCAAATCCAATGCAGAGTAAGTCTCTATTTCAGTGAGCATAAATTACTGCTTCCTAGACAATTAAACTAGCCTGAGTAGCTGTCCTCCCTACCCAATTATGTTTATTTATTAGGGGATCAATGTTGGTTGTTTTGGAAAGCTGGGTACACAGAAGTGGCATTAGCCATTTCAGTCTTGGTAAAAAGACCACATCACTGAGACAGCCTAAACTCCATAACTTTCAGCATTGGTTTTGAGGAAAATGGCTGATTGACTCCAAAGCAGGTCAGTTTGGCCACTTAGTTACAGAAAACCTCTTTCTCATCCAGAGTATCGTAATGAGTTTTCATTTGAAAAACTCATTTCATTTGAAACTCCGCCCACCATCAGTCTGTGCACTTTCTGAGAGGTCCATCTACAAACCTCTTCCCCAAGTTTCTTTGCCAACTATTTTCCAATTTTGTTCCTTGTAAGTTCCTTAAAATCTAAACATCTAGTCGTGAATCAGTATACATTCATAAGTCAGGCCATCATTTCTTTCAGGGAACGTGGATCATGATATTCACCATTTGAAATTTTGCCCATTTTTAATATCTCCTTTCACTGTTGTTCTTCAGGTCGCCCTGGCGTAGCTATAGAGTATATTCCTGCTTGATGCCAATGCTTACTACAAAGCCAAAGTATTCTAGACTCGATGCTTACCCTCCTCGGTGAACTGACAAAAGAGAATTCCTCATGAGGGCATAGTTGTAGATTGAGAGACAAAGTGCTATGTAGCAGGAGTAAGTATCACATGTACATGAAACTTGACTTGCGCCTGTAGGTCCTGTTAAACCCATTGAGGAGTCTATCACTTCCATTTGAACCAGGAATGCTAGTGTGTATACCAAATGAATGTAATGAGTTGTTTCACATGATACCTATGGGCATCTCAGTTGGAATGGTCTAGAGGCAACTATAAGAAGCAGTAGTTATAGAACAGCAGACATAGAACTAGATATAGAATAGCAGCTGCTACTGGATTTATCTTACAATAAACCACTACAATTCTCCAAGAATTATCTATCAAGACTGGAGGAAGGTTATATAGGGATGTGATAGAAATCACTGTTCTGAATTTTTCCAGTCCTTGATGGAGGTACTAAGTTCTGAAGTTCCTAAAAAAATGTAACATTGCTTTTGTTTTTTTCATTTTTATGGGGATTATGATCTCCCATGGCTTTCACTTGGCTGTTTCTACCTTAATAGGCCTCACTTCATAGGTTAAGTAACTAATATAGAGATTCTGCCAGTTGCTGATGATATCTATTCTAATAATAAATTAAAGAATTGAGGGAATACCCACAGGATGTGTTCACAAGCCCTGATCCTGTCATGCTATGTATTCAAGCCCAAACTCCATTTGTCACTGACCCCTCTTTTCCCCATAAAGATCTCCTCTGTCCAGAGGAACACTATTATGTTATAGGCCCCAGGAATTGGGGCCTGCCCACAAAATCCTCAGTGCACAGTTATAATCATGTGCAGGTCCTTTAGAGGAATGCTAACAGCAGTATTTATAATGACCCATATAATGTATGTAATGGGCATTGTGCATGCTCCACACAAATCTACTCTGATATTTTACCATTTTTGTAAATGTCCTGGGTCTATAAGTCTTCTTCTAGAAACTGCCTGTGGACTAATGGAGCCGCTTTCAGTCTACAGGTGCAGAGAAGCAAAGTAGCTGGAAGTATACTCCTGGAGCCTTAAGGTGGCCATTAGCCCATGTCTATGGGTACAAACACATAGGTCCAATTTATGCTCCAGAGATTCCTCAGCATCAAGCTGAGGATAAGATGTTGCCTGAAATTGCACCTGATTTGGCTTTGCCTTTTCCCAGTCCAGCCTCCCTCACTCCCTTCCTGGCTTTTCTTGGAAGCACTTTATGTATGTATGTATGTATGTATGTATGTATGTATGTATGTATTTAATGTTTATTTATTTATTTTGAGAAAGAGTAGGGGCAGAGAGAGAAGGAGAGAATCCCAAGCAGGCTGTACTCTCAGCACTGAGCCCAGTGCAGGCCTTGATCTTATGAAGTGAACCATGAGATCATGACTTAAGCCAAAATCAAGAGTGGGACGCTTAACTGACTGGGCCATCCAGGTGTCCTGGAAGCACATTTTAAATACACCACTTGCACAAGGATCTCCCCTTTAGAGTCTGCTTCTAAGGAACCCAGTCCAAGACTATTTCATCCCAGGGTTCATCCTAAAGAATTCCCGGCCTCTTCTTCAAGAGGTTCTGTGCTGTAAATTGACTCATGGAGCCATGACATTAAAGCTCAATCCTGGAATCTGTTTTCTAGGTGGAGTTATCGCTGTAGTTTGTTTATTTGTTTTGTTTTGCTTATACAGATAAAGTGGGGCCTTAGTGGGTGTACAACTTTTTCAAACCCAGGGATCCCTAATCAATCAGCAAGACAAAGTGGTGTGTGGCAATTGACTTTGCTTATTACTACATTGGTTAATTGCTGCTAATGAAGCACATACTAATGGCAGCATCTCCCACCATTGTTTTCAGCCTGCAGAGAATAGACACTGCATGCTTTTAAAGATGGTTGTGTGTATTTGTCTGTTTTTATCCCAAATTTTCCTTTTTCTAAACCTATATCTAAAACTTTGCCTCAATATATAAATTATATTCCATTTGTTCTGGTTCAGAACCTCAGAATCCATTACTACGTATATTCCTGCAGGCACTTTCCAATATAAGTTGGCAAAATATTGCATTCTTTTTGGTGTATAGGTTTGTCATACCTGGATTTAATTTTTCAGTGGCCTCTTGGAGCATGCTGGACTCTGACATGAGTTATGGGTCTAGGGCATTGAAGCATATTGGGAATAGGTTATGAGGAAATGTATAGCACCTTGTAAGGTAACTACCCCAAACAAGGTGTTTACATAATTTTCAAGGAAGGCAGGAGCAGATCATTAAACTCTGGGGGGAAAGCTATTTCTTCTAGCGAGGGAGTTTAGTGACTTAGAGTACTCAAGTACTCAGAGTTTTCAGGGTTTTCCCATTTGCTCCAATTACACCTGAGATTCTAAAGTCTTAACTTTCAATAAAAGACATTGTACCATTTGAATTCAACTGACATAAAAAAGAAACCACAGGATTAGACCGTGCATTTAATTTTCAGTTTCATCAGCCCTACGGAGATGCGAGCTAATTTTAGGGTAATCATTTTATCACCCTGGCTTTTTGACTCTCTTGAACTGAGAATTTTAAACTTTAAGCTTGTCATTTCCTTTCTATGCTCAGCACATGTAGCAGTTGACTTACCTTCAAGCTTTTGCATTCTTCATGCCCATTATACTGTTCTAAGGCACAACTATTCACTCTTCTATTCCTTGCTTTAAATAATCACTTTTTTCCAGGTGACCAAGGGCACAGATGATAAAATAAGCAACTGTTTCATTACAGTATGCCCTGGATACCAGTATTCTTTTCTTTATGACTAACTGGATCCAACTTGCCAGATAATGGCACCCAGATATCCATTTCCTCAAGGGTTCCTTGCACTTCTGATACAAATTATTCTATTGTTAAGAATTTCAGTTGCAATCAACATTCATTCTGCTTAGTTTAAGCAGAAAAGACATTTATTAAAGATACTAGACAGTTTATTCAGTCTTGAGAGGGCTATGGGAAGAGACAACTAGAGAATTACCCATAGTGTGTTGCCAACTTCTGAAATGCTTTGAAAGCAGTTCCAAGGGAGAAGCTGACTTTGACACTAACAA